TTACGCTCCCACCCCCCCCCCCCCCACCCCCCCCACCACACACACACCTTTTTTTTTTGCCTCTTCTTTTTCTCTTCAGAAGCAGCAGTAGCAGCAGCAGAAGTCGCTTAACTGGGTGTTTTGTTTTTGGCGTGGAAGCAGCTACGCCCCCGTTTGTCTTGGTGCATCCTCCCGCGCTTCCGTGCATCCAAGCGCACTTCGGTTGCCCTCTTGGAAGTCTTTGCTGCGGGTAGCCTCATACTCGGTGTGCCCCGCCTGTGATTGTGAGGATCTTTTCACTTGTTTCCACCGTTGGTAACCCCCCACTCGTGAAACTGCAGTATTTGCCTTTGGTTTTGTTTTTCCCTGTACCTGTGTGTGTGTGTGCTTGATTGAATTTCTTTTGTGGCGCGTAGACGGGGATGACGATGAGGTGGGAGACTTCCTCAGGCTCTCATGCGCACCCCATGCGCGGCACGACCCCCATGATTCCACCTGAGCTCACACATAACCCATCAGACTCGCCCCCGCGGCATCGTCGCTACGTCGCCCCGGGATCCGACGCCCCCGTTGAGGCGGAACAGACGAGCCGCCACAGTCATTACCCGTATTCTCGCTATAACTATTCCCAACCTGCCACGCAGCACGCTATTTTATCTACCCTACAAGTGACGCCCAGAACTGGGCAGAATTATGATTCCCCGCATGACAACTCCTCCCACTCTCGTGCAACTCATACCATTGAGGAGAACAGGAAGCATGTGTGTATTCGCATGTTTCTTCCCCCCTCCTTTCCGGAGACGAATACGCGTGGAGAGACAAGACACCGGGAACTGCGTTCTTGGCGTGACTTACCGGCAAACCCCCTTATTGGCCTTCCAGGGTTGGCAACTCCAGTGACACCTGTAGATCGTGAAGACTACAAGTTTTACTGCGATGCCTGCCAGAAAGGCTTCTTTGTTCAGACGCGGTACGATATACACATGATGGATCATATCTGGTGCACTGTGCCTGGATGCCGCTTCACCTGCCGAAAGGGCAAGGAGTGGAAGATGGAGATGCACATGGAGACACTTCATAACCGGCCGGATGCGCCTGATCTTGTAGATGTTGGGGCCTACTTGTCACAGCGTAGGCGGCGCTTTCCCACACAGGACACAGTGAAGTCGAAGGTGGAGGAGCTTTTTTATAAGGCGTCTAGGGGAGTTATCCTGCCGGATGAGCGTCGTCGGTGGCTGCGTCAGCACGGTGTCCTCGTGAGGAAACACCCTCGAACTGAGGAGGCGTATATTGACTCTGATGCACTGCAGCAGTCAGCACGTGCTGCAACCAGTAAAGTGACCGAACGACGCCGACGACAGCAGCAGCAGGAGCAAGAGCAGGAGCAGCAGCAGGAGCAGGAGCAGCAGGAGGAATCTGGGGAAAAGGGGGGCCCCACAGAGATGCATGTATCACCGGTGCCAACGAAAATTTTTCATGGAGAAGAGTCCCTCGTGAAGGAGAATCCCCCGATGTCGGCGCAACACCCTCCAGCTCCTGGGCGCCCAAAGCGGATTATTCCTCTTGGTTCAAACGGCAGGCTGACGCGAGGCCAGAAGGTGCAGCTCATTTGTGAGCGATACCGCGAGGCAAAGACCGTGCCACCGTTCTACGTCTGCCCCCGCTGTGGGGAGAAGGGTATCCATTGGGTTGACGAATGCCCTACGAAAGGTGATGCGACATTCGAGCGACGGACTGTTTGGGGTGAGGAGCGTCGGGAGCCCCCGAGGCAAAAGTGCCGCACAGAATGCCTCACGGAAGAGACGAGAACAACAACTCCAAAAGCAAGCGATAATGGGAGACAACTTGATGATGCCTCCGCACCTTCAGCAGGGGATGATAGGAACACGCAGGGCGGCATGGCGGCTCGTTGTGACGACGAGGGCCCTGCGGGGGATGGCGCCTTAGAGCTTGTGGAGGATGACGGCGGCCCACCTGCTGAGATGTCTGCAAGGAGGCACGACGTAGCGGAAGGCGCAACAAACCCAACGCCGGAGGTGAGCCGAATGTTGGCGCCGGTTGCAGCGGCAGCGCTGTCGAAGCGCGGGAGGAAGCCGCAACAGGGGCAGTCGCGCCAGACACAGCCCTCACGATCCCGCCAGCCTCCTCCACCTACGTTGTATGAGCGTCTAGTGGAGTCCCAAAAAGCGAATGAGCAGGGTCTTCTTCTTCAAGCCCTCCGGTTTTTCGTCATGCGCAGGTTTTTTGAGCCATTGTGATAAGGCGCGTGAAGGTTTCCCCATTTTTATTACTATTACTTAAAAGGAAAAAAACAAAAAAGGATAACTGCGGCTGCGTGTGCACCCTGCAGAATTAATTGCCACCGCCGTGTTGGCCGGTGGGGGCTGCGCTCATATGTGTCTGTCTGCATGCATATGTGTGTGTGTGTGTGTGTGTGTGGCATCCGTTTTTCCTCCTTTTTGTGCCGACGGATTTCTACGTGTCGGTGTTCCTGCGGTTGTGGTGGATATCGCTTGAGGTCGCCGCCTCTCCTCTGGACTCCGCCTTCTTCGTTTTGACCCCCTCTCTCTTTTTTTCTCCGTCTTTTTTCCCTTGTGCTTGTGCTTGTGCTTGTGTGCCTGCGCGTGGTGGTGGCGGTGGGTCCGCCAGTAATCCTGCGGCCCTACAGACTAAAACCTTAGCATAACAGCCAAGGTAAAACAGTAACGACTACGACAACATCAACTGATCTCACATCCAGCGCGTCACCACCATGCCGACAGAGGTTGCGGAAGTCGCGAGTTCCCACTCGAACAAGGAGCTGGTGGGTCAACTCATCAGCCACGGTGGCTGCTCGGCAAGCTCAGCGTCAGGGGGTTCGTCCGGTGGGGGTGCTATGAGCCGTCTTGTGACGTTTGTCGACAATGACGGCGCAACCTCAACGACGTACAGTATATCAGAGAACGGTGGGCTTGATTCCCCGCCTCAAGCGACCCGCATCTCCTTCGACATGCTTGGGGTGGTTGGGTTGTCGGAGGACATGCTGGCGGAGCTGTACGAGGCCTTTGATGTGCACCAGCGCGGCGGTGTGGAACGCTCCCTGATGCGTGAGTTGATGAAAACCGGCTTCTCCAACTACGGCGCGCCGCGTGGCGACAAGGAAATTGACCGTCTCTTTGAGCACATCACGCCGTACAATGTCCGCCGCCGGTTGAAGGAAGGCAAGGATGAGGATGATCTGATGCCATTCAACGAGTTCTGTGCGGTTTTTCTCTCTTGGTTGCGGCTTTAAATTCACGGGGGACGGATGTGGGAAATGTATACAGTTAAGGAAAGTAGAAGGAAGGAGGATGAGGAGGAGGGGAGACCGATGTGCATGGGCAATTCATTGAGGAGGCGGCCCTCCTGCGGCGTGCACGGATATCAAGTTTGATGATGTAATAAAGTCACGTGAAAACAAAACAAAAACAAAAACAAAAACAAAAACAAAAAACGAAAACAAAAAAAAACAAAAAAAAAGCTGCAGACGCGGAAGCAAATAAACAAACAAAAAATAATATTAGCAGACTGCTCTTTGTTTCCTCCCTTTTTGCTAAAAGGGGGAACTTCATTTTATGGACAGTTTATGTTTTTTTGTTTTTTTCATTCTTTTTGTTTGATTTCTTTCGTTCCTCTCTCTTTCTCTCTCTTGTGTGATGTTGTAAGCCGATTTTGTTTTTGCTTTGTTGTTTAGTTTTCTTTTTTTTTTTTTGTTGTTGTTGGTTTGCTTCTTCTGTCGACGGCTTAAGATGCCTCAGGGGGTTATTGTACCCACACGACTTGTTTTACTTCTTTCCGTCTATGTGCTTATTCCCGAGCATACGCCTGCTTTGGATCCCGTTGTTTTTTTTTGTTTCTCTTCTTTTC